CCCCACAGCCACCTGCTCTCTAATATTACCCCCAGTATAGACTGTTACTGGGTGGTGGGTGGGAGCAGTGCCCAACATCAAACGCTTAAGGCCTAAGACCAAAATCCTGGAGGTGAGCCGAAAGGTTCCCTTTAGACCCTCTCTAACCACCTCGGAAACCCTCAAACCCTGAACCGATTCCCCCGAAAAAAGAAAACATCTAAAAAAATCCTGAAGCCCTAACATCCGAAATGCCCAAATACCCTGAACTACAATCCTAAGCCCTACACCTCCTAAAGTCCTACGCAATGTGGGCCTCTGCGCAGACCACCGTCCCCGCAGGCGCCGCCGAGTCGCACCCGGCGGACAGGCTCTGAAGAAGGTAGCCTAGGGTTGGCTAGAATAGGGTTTAGGGCTCAAGGTTTTAGAGTTCAGGCAGAGGGTTTCTTCAGGGGCATATAGGGTTCATGTTGGACTTAGGTGTAGGGCTTATAGGGTTTCGGGATATTACCCTCCTTCAAAGAAAGTCAAGTGGAAAAAGAAGAGGAATAAGACACGGAAACTGGGTTTTGGTAGGCTAGGATTGTATCCGGAAAGCTTACCCACTAAGAGTGGTATACCAAGACTACACAAGGACCCCAGCACGATTTCCAGTATTGGTGGGTGGAGGATCAACCTAGATTTTCAGACGAATACTACTAAACATAATAAAAAAAATGCAATAGTTCTAAGAGCACAAATATATTAACAATAATGACATGGTGATACTAACAATTGTCGGACGAATAGATGTGCCAATAATAACAATGGCGGGAGAACTGTTAATGTTAGAAGTTTTGTATGCAAGCCTGATCGGAGCCACTAACCCGAATGCGACGGCGAACGCCTCACGACCTCCCCACGCCCTGCAAACGCACTCGTATATCTGTCTGCTGAGAGAACGAATTCATGCAAGCAACTCCCTGACCCGCTGACCCCCGCACCTTCAAACGAGAACCACTCGGACAAAAGCGTAGGGCCGAAACCTTGTGAGGCTTGTGCCTGGGGATTACAGCCGTCTTGGTGTAGAAGGCTTGCGACTTCCCAGGCTTCTGCAGGAATTCAAGGCTTTCTATAGAAGGGCTATTGGGGATTTATATAGGGAACGAAAATGGTAACTACTATAGTAGATTGGGGATATATCGGTTTTCTATGGAAGGTTTAGGGCGTGATTGCACGGGCCCCTTTAGGGGTCATGTGACGATTAAGGTCTAAGGGTCTATGGTGTTCTTTGGTTGGGCTTAGCCCTATACCCTAAACCCTAAGCCCTAAACCCTTCTTGTTTGTCCCTGGAGCCCTGAGGCCCTTCACCAAGAAATCGGGATTCTTCGATTGCATCTGCGGAGAGTGTGGATGGTTGAGAGTGGTGGAGTGGGTTAGGAAGATGGCGCTGAACTTTAACCTAAGGTTTTCTACTCTCTGCCCCACCAAAGGCTTAGGTAGTGCGCTTGGGGCTTCACAACATCAATCCATCATCTGGCAGTCATAGTTTGCTTTGGACTATCTGTTGATCTTCGACCCTTTCCATCTTGGTCTCTTCAAACTGCGCTTCGCATATGCAGAAAAGCGGCTGAAGCTGGTGTAGGACAGCCCATGCCCAAAAGGAAACGAGACCTGCCGTCGACATCACATGATTGCTGTCAAGCCTGTCTGTATGTGACTGCAGTTTTCAAAGGCTGCAGTTTTTTCGGCAGCGTCTGCAGTTGTATGGTTGCTGCTGGTGGCGGTGTTGTGTTGAACGTTGCGCAAGATCCCCGTCAATGAGTAGAACTTAGGAGGACCCCCCCACTCTGTAATGCTGGCTGTGAAGGATAAAAAGGATTCTAGAAGGGTCCTATGGTATTCCTATCTAAACCCTAAACCCTAAATCCCTAAACGGTACAGGGTGGGGGGTCCTAAAGTAGAACCCTGTCCTGGGTTGGACTACGGTTGACCCAACCGCAACAAAAGAGCTTAGCCTGCTTGGTAGGAAAATCTCACTGCGATTTGGGGGACTGTGCTGAAGCTGTTTCGGGCCTTGCTTTAAGGGCTGAACAATTTGTAGTGGATCATGTGTGACATATGTGGTAACTAGGATAGAGCATGCGGCATGCAGGCTCAGTTCCCCATGGAAATGGAGGAAGCTGTGAAGCTGCTAGCTCCAGTGTCTGACACGCGAGGGTGAAAAATGCGAACCGAGCTTGCATGTCGCGCAGGGGCGGGGGACCCAAGTTCTACAAATGACCTACGTACCTACAGAATCAATCCACCAGTAGCTAATGAAGTCTGCGCTGAATGTGCGAGAAAAAGCTTTCCACAGTCTCATGGGTTCCTGAATAACATACTTCCGAGCCCGCCCCATAACACTTCTTACTGGTTATTAGTAGGGAATAAGGACATGTAATGCCTGTAGAATCCATTCCCATACTCCCTACTAATAACCAGTAAGTCATCCAGGTAGTTTTTGGGGTGCTTCTCCGTGGCCGTGGGACCGGCTGGCTGCATGGTGGCAATTTGTAAACTTACGTCTCTCTCTCCTTTGCATTATATACGAATTATATGGGGATTATAATCCCATTTCTGACTAAGAACTAACAAGTCTCATGGTATGCAAATCCGTGACCCAGCACGACCCGCCCGGCAAATCCTGCCACCGGAAAGATGATGCATGTTCCTGAAACTCTAAGTTCACCTATACATGCTTCTCAGGCCATGTAAAAGACGGCCTAGATGGGAATTTACTGACAACTTGCGCGGACCTCATAACCTCCACCTTAAGTCCTAACCACGAGCCCTTAGCCTTACTCATGCTTGTTTAGGCGTGGGGAAATGGATCCCGGCCGTAATCCCTGTATGAGCCCATACTAATCTCTACAACCCATTCCATCATTCCCAACTACTCCCTGCATGCTAATATTACACACCCCCGCCCCTGGCATTAAATGCAATAAATCTCCCCATAGGTGATACATTATGCGGGTACATATGCAGCCTTAGGGGTGGGGGGTGGAGTTTAACTATATTTGAAGCGATTAAGCATGAACAAGTCAAAACCATAAATTGATCCCTAGACATAGACCCTACGCCCCCAAATCCTAAACCCTCAATCCTGGACCCGCAAACCCTAAACCCCTAGACCCTAAACCCTCAAGCCCTAAACCGTCAAGCCCTAAACCGTCAAGCCCTAAACCCAATCACCTGGCCTCCTTTCGCTCATAGGTTGGGAAGCCGGCCCACAAGCCTTCCTGCCATGGATCAGAAACCTCTCTACGGTTTAGGGTTTAGGGTTTAGGGTTCAAAGTCTAGGGCATCCTCCAGTTTCCTTGGAACGATGGCCGTATAGAGGAAGTGGATGCATTTTGTTTCAAGTAACCACTTCGGCTGTCGAGGGGGCTGTTACAGAACCAAGATTAAAACCGGGGCCTGTGTGGGGTTCTCTGCTTGCTCCTATAGGAGGGGGGAATCCTCAATCATCTTGAAAGGCAAACGAGTAGTGGTTTTTCTGGTGGTTGGACCTAGTAAGATGATATTCCTTATATAGAATACTACACCCCAAAAGGAGGATAGAATCTTACTCTATATTGGGTACCATAGTATCCCCAAATAAAATACTACTCAAACCAGAAACACCCAACCAAAGTCTAGGATGTAGGGTTTAGGGATGAGAAGGGTGAGACTGCGACCCAAAATGTATATTGGGTACTGCTCCCCCCCAGTAACAGTCGATATTAGGGTCCAATTAAGGGCTATATATAACCATATTATAATTACTATCCAAGTGTTACTGAGTGGGGGCAGTACCCAAAATATATACGATGACGTGGGGGGTCTGGAAGCCTTTGTCCCATATGTTAGAAGGATTTTAGTTGCCCAAACCCCTGAAATACGGACCGTATAACTATCTTGTGACGAAATTGTACCATTGTGGTGGGCTGGGGCATCTAAAACCTCATTGGTACTATAGAGGCCCAGGAACCCGGGTTTAGGATTTTAGGGTTTAAGATTTAGGGTTTAGGGTTTGGGGGGTTAGGGTTTAGGGGTTTGGGGTTTAGGGTTTGGGTTTGGGGTATAGGGTGCCTGAACCAACCATTCGGAGTGAAAAACTGCCAGCACCCGAGCCTTGTACTCACATGTGACATTCTCACAAGGAGGAATCGCATCCTGCCCAAGGCCAGTACGTCAGGCTACAACCGCCACTTGCACATTCTTCCTATCATGTCCGATGTTTTCACGTTTACGGGCTTAGGGTGTATTAGGAGCAATGCGTTTCCGTAAATGCGAGGACTCCAGTATAGACCTTCAACAATACTGACTACGGAAATCCCAAAAAGGCACCCCTAATGTTGGGAAACCCATGTCAGCTATAGTCTAAACTCCTAGTATACCCCTTAATAACCCCTATGGTAGTCCCCTATATATAACCCCCTATATAGCCCCCATTTAAGGAGTTTAGACTATAGCTCATGTAGGGTTCTCATGGGTTGTCATCTTGGTGAGGCTCTGAAGAAGACTGCAGGCTCCATAGCCTGCCCCCACTTTGAAACTTTGGGGGGGTCTAGGGCTTAGGGTCCGTAAACCCTAAAGTTAGGGGTTTGGGGAAGGACACACATTCCCTAAAGCCCAGGCCTTTAGCACTTTGGGTCTAGGTAGGCGTTATACGAAACACTCGTGCCGGCTATAACAAGTAACACACGAGACCATGAGACCATGAGATGCTACCTGCCACTAACTTCGGTCTCAACCCGTACCCCTAAACCAAAAGAGCCTAACCCTAAACGAGAGGCCCAAGCTCTCCATACCTAGCTTTGGGCTTTCAGGCCTCAGCTTCGAATCCAAAATCCAAATCTTCCACATGCGGAGGACTTTCTCAAAATCGGGGGCCCTTCTTGGAGGGTCACGGGGACTAAGTAAGTAGGTCAATAGTGGGGAAATCTGGGGTTACTATAGGGCTTATAAAGATTATAAGCATAAATTACTAAGTCGCACTAAACCCTAAGTAGTAGCTTCCATGTTCTTTTCCTTTATGCCTCTATATCCCCCTACATCCCCCCATATCCCCATGCATGCAACTTTCTTCTTGACAGGCTTTGTGCGGAGCTTGGGGCAAGCCTAAGCCTTGCATGCGCATCTCGAAGGTATTGCGGGGTTTAGCGGTTTGGGGTTTTGCGGGTTTGGAGTTTCAAGGTTTTGGGGTTCAGGGTTTTGGGGAT